ATTATTCTCACAGCAATATTTAATAATTTAATTAACTTAACTGCACTGCATAATAGTTGAGAGTAGTAAGAGTAAGTGAAACGGTAAGATAAGTGAACGACCATTAGTGTGAGAGAGAGAGAGAATAACTTGTGGTTTTCGAGTAGGTATCTACTTTATGTGCACGGCGTTCATTTTTCGAAAGAACTGGACTGAGTACTATTTGTTCAATATTCGCTTCTATTATTGACTTGTGTTTTGTACACTGCCGCGTTCATTTAACAATTACATGAGAAAGAAATTTCTCATTCTAATTTTTTATACTCTTATTCCCTCTTAGACTATATAAACAGTCTTGTTTAAGCTGATGCATGGGATAACTTGTGTTGAGTCCCAAACTGTTCAGCTATGAAACTTCTAATACTGTAGTGTGTACCTGTCACATATATTATTCTATAAAGGAGTACTACACGCATAGAAAGGGTTTGCTGTGGCAGCGAACATTTTGCTGCCACAGCAAACCTTATTCGTTGAAATAGGGACAGCGAACAAGTTCGCTGTGAGATCAAACAAGTTCGCTATGACAGCAAACTCGACTAAATTTTTACTAATGTTTGCTGTCACAGCTAACATGTTCGCTGCCACTGCAAACTTCTTCGCTGTGGTAGCTAATTTTCAGAGATTTTACAGCAAACATCTGTTTACTGCTGCAGCTAATTTCTTTTTTTCCGTGTACACTGACTGCATAAATCATTTTTCCATTTTTCTCCGTGAAGTGCTACAAAAAATCGAAAAATAAAAAAAAAATTACTCCCAGCGTTACCTCAAAAAATATCTCCTTTAACAAATGCACTTTGATTTTTTTGTTTTGGATGATTCTGTTGCGAGTTAGAGTACACCGCAAATCAATTTTACCCAGGAGGAAAAGTCGGACGAATGTCGGATTATACAACCGCCTGGGATCCGCGCCCGTACGGACCGCCAGCACCGATGTTTTGTACCGATTCGGATCCCAAAATTCAACCGGCGCGGAACAGATTAGGCTCAGAATTTTGGATCCGCCTTTCTACTTTCGTCAGTACTGGCGCGGTACTGGATTTGTTCCGCCTGCAGATTTCATTCTTCTACGCGCGTCGGAAGAATGACGGATGTTAGGTCTGTACTGGCTCGGTGCTGGGGCGGATCCGACTGCGGATCTCGTCATTTATTGTTATAGTTTACATTATCAGTATAATCATAAATTTATTTTATTATATATATCATAGCTAATTAATTATTACAATAACTAATTGCATTTATTATAATAATATTATTATTATTATTCAACCAATAAATAAATTAATTGTATTGATGCAAAGGAAGAATATAAGAAACTTAATTTTTTCATTATATTTATAAAAATCCAACTTTATTAATGTGCAATTAAATAAATAATTTTCAATAAATAATAATATTAACTTGAAAGAAAATGTGTTCAATATATAATAATACCTACAATAAATAACACATTAAATAAATATATAAAAAACAGATTATTAATTAATTAATAATCTCTTTTTAATTTAAACAATATAATTATTAAGTAATTATTTATTGACACTTTTCTGCAAATTAAATAATTAAAAAAATGTGTTGTGCATTCAAATTTCATTCAATTATTAATAATTACGTAATAAAATATTAAAAAATATAATAATAAAATAACAATTTTAACAAGTTCCTTTTTAAACGAAATATTAAAATATTTTATTATTTATTGCCGCGTAGTAATTTTACAATTTTCATTTTAGCTAGTGAGACTTGAAAGCATTTAAGATTTGAGAGTTCCATGCGAGCGTAGCATAGTGGTTAGCGTGCGTGATTTCGGTGCGTAAATATTCGGTTAGGCGTAGGTTCGTACCCCCAAGCGTTAGGATTTTTCAAATGTGAATATAAAAAAATACCGTTAAGTGTATAAAAAAATGTGTAAAGTGAACTGTCAATGAATTGTCATCCGTATTTATCTTTTGCAATTAATTATTATTTTTTATTGATATTTGTTGAAATTATCATTTTGATCCGACCCGGTTGTCAGGCGGTAGAATGCCAGCATTGCCAGCGCACATCTGGCTAGGAAATGAAAGATCCGCAGTCGGTACAGTGCCGGGTCCCAGCCGGTTGAATTATACACGGAACGGCTTCTCCCGGCCGGTCAGCGGGCGGTAGAATGCCAGTTCCGAGACGGATGGCCAGCCAGCTCCTGGCCAAGTCATCTTTTGGTAGAATACCAGTTCTCGGGCGGTAGGCAGGCGGTTCCCAGCCAGTACCACTACTCCGGCGTCGGTACAGGCGAGGATCCGCGCCGGTTGCAAATTTCCCACTGGGATATTTTGAGGCGCCTGAGGAAAATCTCATTATCTCGCTCAATTCTTAATATTTTTTAATTAAAATTTAGAGAAATATTGTTCAAATGTAGCTATATTATATGAAAAGCGATAAAATAAATTAACTTTCTGGGTATCGACAAAAAAATTCTTAAAAACATGCTTTTCTTCACCGTTTAGACCTTACCCCCCCCCCCCTTTAAATGCCCTGGGTCATGAAACTACTGGAAGGAATATAATTTTTTTATATTTTTATTATTACTATTAATATTTTTATCATTTTTTTAAATATATTATTTATATTTCTTTTTATTATTGTTTTATTTATGAATAATAATTTTATTTATACATTATAAGAAATAAAAAAATTAATAAGATAATAAGACAATATAATAAATAAAACTATTGTTCTATTCATTGTAACTTTATTATTTACTAGCTGCGATACCCGTCTTCGACGTGTTTCTAACCTTTATAGTTATACTAACCTTTATAGTTTTCTATATTGAGTATTGATTGGTATTTAACCAATTACACTGAGAAAACTGGAGAGTCAAATTCAGAGGTTCAAAAAGTGTATGTTTCCTTTGCTTATGAAGAGAGTTAAATAGTCCTTCTAAAATAAATTTTGAATTGGTAATGGAAATCTACTTGTATATTCTCTCCCATTATATCTGAGGGTTAAAAGTTGCGCAGAAAATGTGTACGATCTGATGCGCGCGAAATTATTTTTCTGACATTTTATGCACTGTAAAAAAGCCCAATGTAAATTTACAACGTGTAACGTTGGAAACTTTTCGCTTCACGTATGACGTACACGGAAAAAAAAATCAGCCTAATAATGCATGGAGTCTATTGGTTCGATTTTTACATGAGCCCATTTTGCAAATATCACACAGGAGTTTACTAAAAATGCATGCACGGAAAAAAATTAATCTCTAAATTAGAGATTAAATCTGAGATTTAGGCATAAACTATCACTGGAATCGGACGTAAGATGTAAGCAGATCACTAAAACTGAAATTTGGTATTATATCTAATCCGAATATTAGTATTGTGAAGAACACGTATTTCTTATGCCTAAAAATGATATTAGGAATCTCAAATTTTATGACATATGGAACATATGTTCTAAACTATCAACTTACTTGAATAAATTCAAATCTAATATATTATTTGAATAAACAATATTAAAAATTTTAGTCGTATATTTATATAATTCTTATTTTTGTAATAACTCGATGTAATAAGAATTTATAATTTATCACAATTTAGAGTGAGAATTATTCACAAAATATTTATATTGTTTTCCCTGTATGAACTATACATTGACAAGTATAAAAAAGTAGTTGGATATTTTTAAAACACAATACGAATTTTATATTTTTATTTCATTTTTTTGTTTTAACGGCGTTGGAAGGTCTGTAAAATTTGTAGGTTACAATTATCGCCCGACAAAATACGACACTGACTGATTTAAATGACGTGAAATAGGTAAATAAACATTTTTCAACCACTTTTTCTCTAAACACAGACACTTTTTACAAAATAGGCCAACATACAACGAGTAGGAATCTTCTTAATTACCTAAATTCAAAAGATGGTTTAAATTCATGCAGAAACGCGGTTGGCAAGCGGTTGTAAAATGTAAAATTGGAAATGATTGGAAAGTAATGTAATGACAGACAACAAGAAGCGGATTACTGCCAGTCGCCAGAAGAGGGCAGAAGCATGCAGAGAGCACAATGGTCCAGCTGTTATATTCTTAGCATTACATCACTTTCCAATTTTACATTTTACAACCGCGTTTCTGCATGAATTTAAACCATCTTTTGAATTTAGGTAATTAAGAAGATTCCTACTCGTTGTATGTTGGCCTATTTTGTAAAAAGTGTCTGTGTTTAGAGAAAAAGTGGTTGAAAAATGTTTATTTACCTATTTCACGTCATTTAAATCAGTCAGTGTCGTATTTTGTCGGGCGATAATTGTAACCTACAAATTTTACAGACCTTCCTTCACAGACCTTCGCTTTTATTTGGATATTTGAAAATAAAATTAATACTTAATTAATTAAAATGGGTTAAATCTTTTTTGTCATTGATTAACTTAAAACACAATGTACCTAATTCATATAAAAAAAGTTGTGAAATTAACAAATCTCTAAATCAGAGATGTGAATTTATGGCGTTTTCTGGTATAAAGTTTGACATAATCAAACACAACTTATCACAGTAATTGTGACTATAATGTTTAATTTAGATACACTTATATTTCATTGGACTTCAAATTAATATTATTTCAAGTTTAGAGATTAATTTTTTTCCGTGTGGCTTTTGTGACTTTTGCCACAGCACCATGCGAAAATAGGATGGATTCCAAGCTAATCACGCATGGTAGTGTGCGTGCAATATACACAACAGACGCTCATGTGTTTTTAGCCTAGTATTTTTTTCCGTGTAGTACTATTACAGCCCTAATGTTAACTTACTTACCGTTCGTAACATAACCTCTCTTATGTGATTTTGCATCAAATTGTAAATCGACCACTCGTCGGTAATTTTACATAATAATATCGCTGCATTTTAAAATTATTCTTTTTTTATATTTATTTTGTATTACATAAAGGTTAAATTATAAAAAGGAAATAAAGGAAAAATGTAAGAAATAAATAAATATATTAAATATTTATAATATACAAATCACATTTGTAGCTTTTTTGTCATTTGTACAAAGTTAACGAATTCCCCAACAGAACAGGAAAAACAAATACTTTTTCCACTTTAATTTTAAAAAAATACGAGCTGCTTAAGCAATAGAGTCCATGAAGATATTCTGAAAAAATTTTTTATGTTTGAAAATTATTTTCATACAGAAAATTCACACAGTTGAATAAAATTTTTTAAGTATAAAAAATCATTAAAAACGTGTCTCTTTTTAGGTTCAAAGACATTACCTTATTAACTTTGATATATATGAAACATTAAAAAGAAATCTTTCAAATTTAAGAAATGAAAAATGTTAAGAATTTGAACTTACCTTTACAAATTTCCTTTAATCTTTAAATTCTTAAAATTGTCGAAATTTTAATAAATTAAAATTAAAATATTAACGTTTGCCTATGCGCATAGTTTCTTATATGCCACTTCATCGTCACGCAGTGTAGAAAAACATTCGGGCAAAAAATATCATATTCGAATATATACTTACAGACAGCTACATAATTCTACATACTGTCGGTAAAACTATCAGCTGTAAGTTACTTAACACACGAAAATATTTTTACGGTTGGGTTGTTAACATACAACGTTATACGTGAAGCGAAAAGTTTCCAATGTATCACGAAATGATTAAACATTCGGGATGTACATTTACTAACGCGTGACACATTTACAACGATAAGCGTAATAATTTTACTTTTTAATTGTGAAAATACTATATGGGTGTTAAATTATTACGTGTACCGTAGTAAAATTACAAACTGGAAAATTTAAAATTAACGACCCGATTGTAATTCAACATTGGTCTTTTTTACAGTGTGTATTTAATTTAGGGGTTAGGTTGCCATATTTATTCATTTCGCGCCGGATAAGGAAGGGATTTCTCAAGATGGTTAATTTGTCCCTCTGTTATAAACTCATTTCCCCTCCAAGAGAAATGGAACGAATATCTGTCAATGGTGTATTTGAACATTTAGATTGTTATCCAATAGCTAACTCTCAAATATCAACGATTTGTCCCTCCAGATGTTTAGTCCAATACTCCAGTTTTCTCAGTGTATAATGTATATTTAAACTAATTTTCTTGATGATTATTAATATTAATTAATGAAGAAGAAAACAAAATTTTAAGGAAAGTAAAAAGATAATGTTTAGAATTTTTAAAATCGCCCTAAGTGTGAAAATCATCATGGCTTAATAACGGCCCAGTACTGGCAAAGTTGGCACCTAGTCTTGGCCGATATTATTGGGACGACTCTTGTGGTGTTAATTTATTACGGTTGGACGTCGGCAGACGTTAATGGCCCAATATTGACTGCCATTACTTTCCCAGTATTGGCAAAATACAAAAACTAATATAAATTATTACATTTTTTATTAATTAACTAATTAATTTTTTAATTTATCATATTTATAAGTCTTTTATTTCACTCTGCTACTCTGACGTGAAGTCAAGAAAGCATAATGGTTTTATAAGCTACACTACACTGAAAAAATGTTAGGCCGTTGGCTGTACTGGTTCCGAAACAACCAGTTCCCCTTTCAACCAGCACGTCAGACGTCCTTTTTCAAGACAGTAGACATACTTCTTCAGCGCATGCGTTGTTCTGTGGTTTAGGGAAATAGTGGGAAATAGCTATCAGCACGGCGGTTGAACTGAAAAAGTAAGTCTACTGTCAAGAAAAAGGACGTCTGACGTGCTGGTCAGAAGGAAAACACTTGTTCTGGCGTTTTAAGAGAACCAGTACAGCCAACGGCCTAAAACTTTTTCAGTGTATTTATCGATATTATGATATTATTGGGGCGACCCAAGTGCGAAAACCAACGCGGCCCAACACTGGCCCAGTATTGGCAAAGCTAGCATCGAGACTTGGCAGACAATATTGGCCCGACTTTGCGCCGACTCTTGTGGTGTTAACAGCGGTTGGACGTCGGCAGCCAGATCTCGGCAGACATTAATGGCCCAATATTGGCACCAGATCGCGGCAGACATTAATGGCCCATTATTGGCAGCCAGATCTCAGCAGACATTAATGGCCCAATATTGGCTGCCATTACTCCCCCAGTGTTGACAAAATTAGAAAAAAATACAAATAAATTTTTTTTTATTCAATTAACTAATTAATTTATAACATTTATACGGCTTATTTCCCTAAGTTAAACGCAAACTTACAAATATTTAAAAAATTCTTACCTCTCGCGGGGATCGATACCTGAACCTGACGCACCACAGCCTAACACTCTGACCACTCTGCTACTCTGACTTGAAGTCGAGGAAGCAAAAGGGTTCTTATAAGCTACACTACACTGGCCGATACTGTGCCATTGTTGGGCCGAGCTACGTCCCAATATTGGCAATTATAATTTGCCATCATAGATACAAAATGATAGACATTAATGTGTCATTACTGGGCCAAGCTACACCCCAATTCTGGCAATTATATTTTGCCATCAAAGATACAAAATTTTTGCTATTAAAGTGCCACTAATGAGCCATTAATGGGCCGATCTTCGTCACATCACTGGCAATTGAATTTTGCCATTAAAGATTGATCAACTTTACCAATATTGTGCCGTTATTGAGCCAAGCTACGTCCCAATACAGGCAATTATAATTTGCCATGAAATACACAAATTTTTTGCCATTAAAGTGCCAATAATGAGCCATTAATGAGCCGATCTTCATCACATCACTGGCAATTGTCTTTTACCATTAAAGATTGATCAACTTTGCCGTGAATGTGCCATTATTGGGCCAAGCAACGCCCCAATTCTGGCAATTATATTTTGCCATCAAAGATACAAAATTTTTGCCATTAAAGTGCCATTAATGTGCCTTTAATGGGCCAATCTTCGTCACATCATTGGCAATTGAATTTAAAAAAATTTTAATATCAAAATTCATGCTATGTTTTTAATATTTAATTATTATCTAAAAATTTGACTAGAATCCATTTTGAAATCAATTTTTACTAGAAAATTCTACGAGAATTTAATTATTTGAATGCAAAAATAAATAATTTATTGAATAAATTGAAAATTTCTTAATTTTTAGATAATAAAGGAAAAATTTTACTCAAAAAAAGGTTTCTGCTACATTTATTTACGAATTTCTTTAATTGTAAAATTATTTGAAAACATTAATAACTTCTTTTTTAAATTAATACTTAATTAAACTTTTTCAAAAAAATTAATTCTTTAAAATTGACAGTTAAAAATATAGAAAATTCAAAGTTTTGAATATTTTAATTTGAATCCTTTTCAAGCTTATTCAATTATTTAAATACAAAATAAATAAATTATTGAATAACTGAATGTTTCTTAAAATTAAATTCTTATAAAAAATTTTACCAAATTAAAATGCCATTAATGTACCTTTAATGGGCCGATCTTCGTGACATCACTGGCAATTGTTTTTTGCCATTAAAGATTGATCAACTTTGCCATGAATGTGCCATTATTGGGCCGAGAACTGGCCCAGTCTTAAAAAATTTGAAATTCTGACCATCAGCGCCATCATTGGCCCAGTAATGGGACGTTTTGAACACCAATAATGGCCCAGTAACTACTGCCAATTCTCTGCAGACATTACTGCACCAATGATGGGCCGTTTTTGCAGTCTTGGCATTTCGCACTTGAGGAGGTACGTTCCAATATTGGCAATTGTATTTTGCCATCATAGCAGATACAAAATTTTTGCTATTAATGTGCCATTACTGAGCCGAGCAATGTCCCAATATTCTGAAACTGAAATTACCAACGTTTATTCGACAAAAATTTTTACTTTAGCTAATTGCTTATTTTAATATTAGCAATCCTTTAAAAAAATTACGAAAAGATCACGGATTTCCCGAAATTCCTGGAAATTCAACTAAATTATTGTTTCCTCGCCTCGCAAGCATTTTTTTTCTCTTAATAATCAGAAGCCATTTAAAAAAATTGCAAAAGGATTCAAGGCGAGGAAAGTAGTGATTTTTATTTTTTTGTCATGGATTTTCCAAAAATCCCGGAATTCAGTTTTATCCAATACTTTCAATTACAACTTGCCATCATAGATAGATAAGTTTAGCCTAATAATCTGATAATAATGTGCCACTATTGGTCCTTGCTAAGCCCCGTTACCAGCAATGAGACGTTTTGAATGCTTGTATATATTGGCCCAGTAATTTTTGCCAGTTTTCTGCAGACATTGACGGGCCCGTTTTGGAGTTAGAACAAAGTTTTGCATATAGACAGACAGAAGGACAGAAATTTTTTTTTTACATTTTTCGAATTCTAATGTCTCAAAACGAAAAAATATATAAAAATTTTCAAGCTTGGAGCAATGTATACAGACAGAAGTCTGATTTTATTAATATAGATTGTTTACATTTCTATGGAAGATTATTTATGCAAAAAATCAATTGAATAAAATATTAAATAACATTTAAATTCAATATTGAAATTCGTTGTCGAAAAATTGTTACAGTGAATTAATTTTTTTTTCACTTTCTTTAATTTTTAATCACAAGAGCTTATCGCAAAGAAATAGAAGTATTAAAAATTTTATATATTTCTCTTCTTGTCGCGACGTGTTTGAGATAGTTTTCTGTTTTTTTTTTCTTTTTGAATTTTTTTTTTGCAAAATCACTTTCGATAAAATTATCAATTATGTGTAATGTGTGTATATAAATATATAGTGCGAAAGATTGAACGCTTCTAATGCCTGTGGAGAAGAGACATTTGACAGTTACAAACGTTTACTAAAATTATTTTCTAAAAGAATATTCATGTCTATGCGATCTCAGTTCGAAGTCCAAGGTTATACACGATTGCGATATGTACGTCATCGAATAAACTCTATATATATGTATATATAAACTTATAATAGTTGAAAACTGACATTTGATTATAACTGGTTTGTTACGACTGACAAAATCATTACCAGCATCATCATTGCAATCATAATTCTGATGGATTATTTTGATTACTTTAATAATATTACAAGTAGAAAATTGTATCAGAGTTTAGTTTTTGAATTTTTGACAATTAGTTTCTTTACAATTGTTGCTGAATTGTAAAAAGTGTAAATTGTGTCTATGAAAAAGAAACTTTGTTTAAATTAACAAAATAATAATTATTATTATTATTTTTATAATAATTATGCCAATAATTATAATTATTTATAATTATTATTTTTAATATTTATTATTTTAATAAATTTAATAATAATTATTTTTTGTTATTGTGACTGTTATGTTATGTTAATTATTAAATTAATTATTAAACAAATTATTAGTTGTTAATTATTTAAAATATTATAAAATTTTTAATTATTTTTTTTTATCTTTTTTAATGCTATTTTTTATTACCTTTACTTGGCTTCTGTTTTTACATACTTATTCATATTAGTTTTCTCGTGTTTTATTCATTTTTCAGTCTAGAGTATTTATATTTATCTACACGGAGAAAAATGGAAAAATGATTTATGCAGTCAGTGTAGTACTCCTTTATAGAATAATATGTGACAGGTACACACTATAGTATTAGAAGTTTCATAGCTGAACAGTTTGGGACTCAACACAAGTTATCCCATTCATCAGCTTAAACAAGACTGTTTATATAGTCTAAGAGGGAATGAGAGTATAAAAAATTGGAATGAGAAATTTCTTTCTCATGTAATTGTTAAATGAACGCGGCAGTGTACAAAACACAAGTCAATAATAGAAGCGAATATTGAACAAATAGTACTCAGTCCAGTTCTTTCGAAAAATGAACGCCGTGCACATTAAGTAGATACCTACTCGAAAACCACAAGTTATTCTCTCTCTCTCACACTA